TAGAAGTGATTCAGTGATTTTGGTAAATTTATAGAGTTGGGCAGTCATTGCAGGTATCCAGTTTTAAAATGTCTCTGTTACCCAAAGAAATTTCCTTGTGTCCATTTACAGTTAATCCTCCAGCCCTTGGCAACCATCACTCTTTTTGTCTCTAAATTTCTGTAATCTTTTAACTAAGAGTTAAGAAGGGATTTTTTTTATCTTTCTGTATTTTACCTACAGAATCATTTTATTGATCATGCTAGGTTTTTCTTAATGAAACTGGCCCAGGCAGTGTTAACACATGGCCCTGCATGAACAGACTGTGCTCGCTGATGGTGATAAAGGAGCGTCTTGGGTTCCATTGTTTGTTCTCTTAAGTCAGAATATTTCAGTTTTGTGTTGACTCTACCATCTTTCTCATTGAACATTAACTAAAGGTAACTCTCAGCCTCATGTGCATGTCCACTTAAGTTATATCTTTCAAGAGAAGGGACCTGAAGGTTCTAATGTCTATGAGGCTTGGCTACTTCCATAGCAGCTTGAATGATAGCAGTCATTCTTCTTTGTACATCTACAGGTACAACTTAAAGAAACCATTGAAGATCTTCCTGGTAAAATGGATACTGAATTAGCAGAATCAGGATCCAATTTTAGTGTCGGACAAAGACAACTGGTATGCCTTGCCAGGGCAATTCTCAGGAAAAATCAGATATTGATTATTGATGAAGCGACGGCAAATGTGGATCCAAGGTATAAAGCTGAAGTCCATGTAACCTTGAGCCTACATCTTAAGTGTGTAAATGGGAAACACGGAATGATTCTGAGAAATGTTTCTAAGCACACTGTTTGCCCCAGAGATCACATTTTAACATGGATAACATTCATTCTGAAAAAACAGAAGAAGAAACCCAAACGTGTTTTCCAGTGTCAGTGATGTTATTCAGTATTCCAGGAGAGCTAGATTCCTAAAATCCACTCCCAATAATCAGTTTTAAGCAATTTGGGGGGAAGATATTTTTCATTGTTTTATGAAAATTAGTAAATTACTATATAGATTTTTTATAGAATAAGATTGTCCTAGAACATTTTAACATGCTTTTTAAAACATTGAATATATGTGATCTTTTTTTAAAAAAAAAACTCTATTGTGTAGGAGAGCTTTTTAAGTCTTAAGTCTACTTTTCCCATCTTTACGGAATTAAACTTAACTTCTTTGATTGCAGAACTGATGAGTTAATACAAAAGAAAATCCGGGAGAAATTTGCCCACTGCACCGTGCTAACCATTGCACACAGATTGAACACCATTATTGACAGCGACAGGATAATGGTGAGTCCTTCACCTGCAGAATTCCAGTTGCTTCCAATTATGTTCACTTTTTCAGTTTGTTCCTTCCTTGTAAAACTTGATAGAAACCCCTAGTAAGTTAATTTTCTGTTAATTTTGGCTCTCATTCCCAACAGTAATTCATATGCTTAACTACACCATCAGTGCCACTAACAATATATCCAATGTATCTCTTTGCATATACTCATATGCAAAAATCATATGTTAAAAGTTTACCATGAAAATGTTCCAAATCTAAGATTCAGCTTGTGATGCTAACTGTCGTACTACAGAGTAGTATCAAATAGAAGATCACAGTCATCGTCACTGTCACAGTTGTTTCAGCATGCTTGATCCCCTTAATGACAGACTTAGGTTTTTATATACTGCAAGGGGCTCGTTGGGTAAGGTTGCAGAACTTCTCAGCTGTTGGGACGTTCACAAGATATGTGTCACAGGGGAAGAGATGAGAAGATCTATCACAAATTATTTTCATAGAGGGCCTAGCCAGAAAAACAAATGAATCCAACAGAAAGGATTTAACAGGAAATTTGTTACATAGGAATTGGAGGGCCTAGAAAATGAAGGGAAACAGTGATAATTTTAGGAAGCAAGGCCAGGCACAGTGGCTCACACCTGTAATCTCAGCACTTTGGGAGGCCAAGGTGGGCAGATCACTTGAGGTCAGGAGTTCGAGACCAGCCTGGCCAACATGGTGAAACCCTGTCTCTACTAATAATACAAAAATTAGCTGGACGTGGTGGTGGGCGCCTGTAGCCTAAATGTATCATATAGACTTCTTGTTGGGATTTGCTGTTACAGCATTGATGACAGCTACTCCTTTTATTATCTAATGCTTGGAAGTGCTGTCAACTTAGAAGGTCTGATTAGTTAGGGAGACAGCAAGCAAGGACAGAACTTGGCAGACAAGTCAGTTGGTCACTCCTAAATCTGATCAGTCAGCATCAGACCACATAAATGCCTAGTTCACAAGCATCCCCTTGATCTATCAGCACTGTTACCATTATTGAAATGTGCCCATTAGTTTATTGCTTTATATACCAATCCCTCCAGGTAGCTTCTGAGAGCCTTAATTTTCTTCTCTCTGGATTAATGTCTTTATCTAAACTCTCAACATGGTTCTACAAAGCAATTTACAGTTGGCCCCTCCCTACCTTTTAGCCTTTCCTCACTCTGTTCTCTCTCTTTCCTTTGTAGTAAAAGCCACAGTCCTTTAGTTATTGTCCTTCAGTTCATCAAACGCAGCATTCACTGTTGTGGTCTTGCCCTCTCTACACTATGCACAATGGCGGCTTAGACTATGGTGTGAGCAGTGAAGATGGTGCAATGGATGGATTTGGAGTAAATAGCAAAGTAAAGCAACTGGACTGTGATGGATTGAATGTGAGATTTGAGGGAAGACAGGGGGAGTCAGTCCTGGTTTCTCTGTTTGGGACCTGACTATCTGGATGAATGGGGAAGACCTGGAAGAAATAAATTTGGAGAAGGGAAAGGCGAGCGTTCCCTTGGAGGATGTAACTGTTGAGATGACCTTACATTTCAGCATGGAACTTGCCTTCTCACTCCCAACTCCATTAGTGTCTCCATCTATGGCGATCTCTCCAGTGATATTGGGAGATCTTCCATTTAGGGCTTCCTGGCCATGAGGTCATCAGTGACATCACAGGAAGTCCTACTAGGAGGTGTAAATTTAAGTAAGGAGTCTTATTACAAGCTCTGAATTCTTCGTGAGAACTATTTTCCAATTTTTCTTAACAGGCAATGGCAGAATTCAGCCTCAGGGAACCCAGGAGACATGCATTCTGTAGTTTGAGATTGGGAACTGGCCTCTATGTTCCCTTGACCCCTAGCTGAAAGCTTCTCCCATATTCTAGAGCTTCTGATCATCAGCCACCTTTCAATTCAGGGGAACACCATAAATACTGTTCTTTCTCAGATCTTTGATTTTGGAGGTGTTTTTTTTCCCCCCCTTGCTTGTTTTAGAGATATCTTTACAGAAAACATGTGTTCTGTTCTGTTATTCTGAAAGCTGTGAAAACATAGAGACAAGTGAATCAGCTGCAAAGCTCAATGCTCCAGAGGGCAGGCTCAGGGAGTGGCTGGGGAAGTGACAGATGTTAATGAAGGACATAACCAACACTATTGTCATCGTGCAGTCATGGAATTGCACGTGCTTAAGGTGTAAATAATTACATTTTGTTGCATTGGTGAATACTTCTCCACAAAGACGGATGGATATGGTTTCGTTTACTGTAAGTAAATCAAACAAAAGGCTTGTTGGGAAACAACTGTGACCTAATTAATAGCTTTGTTTATGTGTTGACTCTCCAAAGGGATTTACCCAGTTTTGGTTCATTAAGTGCCATTAATGAGTTAAGCTTAGAATTTTATTTTATGAAGATGTTCTCTCAATTTTAACTTTATTAAACATGGTGTAGTCTTAATGACAGCTAATTTAATCTTCATTTGCTCAGTTGCCACAAAACAGTAGAGCAAGACGGACAAATTAGAAATCCTCTTTTTTCTAGTACGCACCACTATCTCCACATTAAAGACAGCTTCCTCCCTGTAGTTTTTAGGATTAGCTGGTTACTTGTGACCTGTTTTCCTTTCAGCCAATAGCACAGCCTTTTCCTCCAGTCCCTGCACACCTGTCCTTACAGCACTCTGGATTCTCCCTGGTAGCGTGAGTGAACAAGGAATAAGCGAATCTGCAGTTAGATAATTCTTCGGGAGTGAATTACAGAGAACCAAAACCAGGACTGAGAAATTCAGATTGTAGCTCTTTTCTTTGTAGGCAGTCTTATGGGTTTATAATGTATGTCTTTCTTTCTAAACCCAAATCTCTTTTTAGTAGAGTTTTCTCAGAGAAAACAAATGAGAAATCGTTCTAACAGAACCAGCTGGAGAAACACAACTCAAAGCTAACTTGAGTTTTATTTAAATTCTATGTTTCATCTTCATGGAACTTCTCTTTAAGAAACCGACAACGGCCACAATTAGAACATTTCAGAAGAGGAAAAATTACTTCTTAAAAACTATGCTGAGACATTTAATTAAAGTGTTCAGGGGGACAAAGAACTAATGTGAAGGAAGAAAGCACAAACTGGGGCTGGGTGTGGTGGCTCATGCCTGTAATCCCAGCATTTTGGGAGGTCGAGGAGGGCAGATCACCTG